CAACTTGCCTAATATTTCTGCACTCCCTGTATAATGCAAATTGACACTTTTGTTGATAAATCACATACTAATTCTTCTTCTTTGTCTTCTTCTTTTGGCTGCTCTCTTTAGGGGTCGCCCCAGCGAATCATCTGCCTCTTTTCTTCCTCCCTGGTGCTCCATATTCCGCATCCTTTATCCAACATATCCACTATACCTCCTCTGCACACATCCAAACAGTCTCAGTCTAGTCTCTCTAACCTTATCTCCAAACTACTGTCACGCTGATGTATTCATACCTAATCTTATCCATTCTGTTCACACCCTTCTCCAAGGGTCTGCCACGTCCAGCTTGGCCTTCTGTGTTTTTATCAGTGCCACCATCTCCAAACAATACATAACACATCATATGAGGTCTCACCACCATATTTTATTCTTTCATCTACAATATTAGAAAGAAACACAAATTAGACAAAGATGTGTGAGCAAGCACCTGGTGAGTTTAGGAAGGAAAAACACTGTAAAAGCAGGAAGAACCTCCAGTCCAAAACCAGACTCAGGGAGGTTCTGCACACAGTTGGAGACAGAGTTTAATCATTGATAATGGTTAAATGCAATAGTGGTGTATAAGCACATTGAAAAAGAAAAGCTGCAAGTGAAGAAGAAAGTCTCAGTGCAACATGAAAAGACCCTCACCTCCACACACACACACACACACACACACACAGAGCAGGCCAAGTCTATTGCAGCATAACTAAGACATGGTTCAGGATCACCTGATCCAGCCCTAAATAAAACCTTTATTAAAAAAGAAAGTTTATTTTAGCTTTAAAAGTAGAGAGCAGCTGTCTCACGTATGCAAACTGGGAGCTGGGAGACTCCTGACTTCTTCATACAGTATCACAGTAATTGTTCTATCAGGTGGTTTTAGGGTTGGTTTTATGATTAATCCTCACAGGAAGCATGCAGCTCTCATACACCCACAGAAACCAGGATATACCACAAGCAAAGATTTTAAACATTCAGGTTTTTGAGTTTACTTAAAGGACTTCAAGTAACATCAGTCATTTGCAAAGTACTTAACTCTCTGAAAGAATAACATAAATCACAAAAACCGCAAATAAAGACTTATTTTCAGTTATGGGATCTAGGGCAAATCGTGGTTATTAAAGAGGAATAGTAAACATAGATAAGCGTATGAGGAAAATGATAAAATGTAAAGTTTTGGTCTGTTTTGCACAAATTACTACAACAATACACTGAAAAGGCAGAGTACACATAATATAATAGGTCAAAGTCATTAAAATAACCAAATGGAAAGACACAATTAAATTCAAACTTGTAGTGTAGATAGATAGATAGATAGATAGATAGATAGATAGATAGATAGATAGATAGATAGATAGATAGATAGATAGATAGATAGATAGATATTAGCTGCATTCTGTGAAGCTCTTGAGACATTTTAATGCTTCATAACAGCAGAACTTTAGCTTTTGTATTTTTAAAAGTGATGACAGTAAGGCTAAACATCCTCACAGCTAGAGCCTACCATCAACAGTTAACTATTCATTACTATGACAATATGGTGCAAACAGGCACCGAAGTTGACGAGCTCTGAACTTCATGCTATCTTGAGGCAGTGTGTCACTGAGGATTTTCGACCACTCGGTGCACTGAAAGTTACCCTGTCTCCTTTCCCTTATTTAAAATGAAAAAAAGTACTATGTGTTATAGATTCCATAAAGATGAAACTACATTTCTGGGATTGACACCCAGTAGCCCTGCAGTAAGTGATTGTGCCATTATCCTCATGATTCGTCTGAACAGGTTGTTTCAATGTAGTTTTAAGTGCATACAGGGTGGGTTAAATGTGCTGTGTGCTTGGCCTGGCTCCTGCTGTCAATCAGCAGCAGTTGGTTATTCTTGTGGTAAGAAATCATTTCATCCAGGCTGTTGAAAGTCTAAGAGAAAGCAGAAGATAAAGAGAGAAGTGTGATTAAATTATGCCCGGAATTCTTCATAGGCTTCAGTAACTCCTGAATTTTTATATCCTGCTTTGTCTTTTCACCTCTTCGTTCTTTTTTCCTTCCTTTCCAAGGGCATAGGCTTTAGTTTCCACCAGGAAGCGAATGGGAACATTGTACACCTTCTGCTGGTAAAGCACGGCAAGGGTGTAGGGTTGGTGAGTGCTCTGGGCAGAGCTGTATCGGATGAGAAAGGCACCGTCCTGCAATAAGGAGAAAGGGAGGAGAAGAAGAAAATCTAATAAATAAAACTAGATGTAAAAGAACATCTTAGGAAACCTTGACAGATATGAAAGAATAGTCAAGCAGGCTACAACTAAAACTGATAAATGGATGAATCGTGGAATGAATTGGGGGAATGTAAAAAGACTCTACATGCATAAGGGAGAGTAAGTGGAGGAAATGGAAAATAAATCACTGCCATGGAGCCCTGAAGCTGTCTGACTTAGGTTTAGCTTTCGTTTGAGTTTTATGTTTGAGTGTCAGCGAGACATACCATCATTATTTTTTTTATATCACTTTAAAACTACCAGGTTTACCTTGTTGATTCTCTGTAAGAGATCCTCTGCTGTCTTTCTGTTGCAGTCACCAGCAAACCATTCTCTATCCTGAAATATAAACATACAGCAGATATATCAATAAGAGAATCAAACCCACTTTAATGCAGGATTGTTTATATAGTATAATCACAACAACAGTATTGAAGTCACTTCAATACTGTAAGGTAAAAAACTGAAAGTATTCAAGGAGGGGCAGCCAATCAGCTGGGACGTGAGGGGAAAGACACAAAAAGAAAGCGAGCATAGGGAGACAGAACAATGTGAAGTATAAGTGCATTTACTAACCTTCTCTACATGAGGACGAATTTGAACTATACTATTTACTAAATCATTACATTTCGTAGTAAATATTCTACTACATGAATGTGAAGTTTACCAGTCATTTCTCAAATTAAGATTTTCTGTTTAAAAATGTTTCTCATGCATCTCAAACATCTCAAACTTGGTTAAATGTTTGGTTCTTATATAACACTTCTCTACCTGCGCACCTATAAAACATGTCTCATATATCTATTGAAATTTGCTATGCGTAGATATTTGGGATTGTGTCTCCTTCGATAAGTGAATGTGTAAACCACTACACTAAGAATGATATACATATATAGAGAGATTTTCTTTTCCTCAATAAGAGAAATTGTTTTGTTTTGTTTTTGGGTTGTTTTTTTTGGGGGGGGGGGTCTTTTGAATTCAGGATTTTTGATTTTCACATCATTGTATAAGTACTTTTAGCTAAGTTACAGTTCACCTCTTACCTCCAGGCTGTTATGTCTGGTTACCCTCATACCACCATAGGAGGCTTAAAACACATAAAGATAAGTTGTTTGTCAAGCACAAGTTCATGGGAAATCTGTATTTGGCAACAGTCAAATGTTTTGTTGGTTGTTTTTTGTTTGTTTGTTTTGTTTTGTTTTTTCGTTTTTTAAGTATGATGAAAACTGTGTTTCGATTACATCAAAGTGCAAATATAAATATACTCAAAATGATCATCAGTCACCCCTTTGGATTTAATAGAGACTTAAAAAAGAAAACTGAGCTTACCCACAGGCTTAGTGTCTGGTATTGGGGGATTTGGAGGGCTGAAAAATAGAAAAGAAGGCTAACATTAGACACTAACTTTAATTCTGACATGCACACACTTGCAGGTCTTGTGGATGGGGGTCAGCTCTAGTGATAACCTCAGGGTCAGGTGCTGTGCCAGAAAGTGATAATCCACCCAAAAAAAATCATTGCCTGTATTTAAGGTGTAAATTATTTGTTGGCTTACAATCTGTGAAATACACATCAAGTATATGTATCATTAACGAGATAAAGGCATTCTGAGCCTATCACACGTTAGAAGTCTATAAAGAAGTTCTAGAAGTTCTATAAAGATGTGTTTTTGGGAAGAAGGGAGTGGTTTGATTGTAATGTAGGTACAATAACCCAGTGTCATAACAATACCTGTAAAATGTGTCATTTCTTTACGTTATATATAATCCCTTCATATACTACAGTCTACACTAACATAAGCAATGACATTACACTTAAAAAACACATCTGAAATTACTTTTTGGCACAACACTAAAGAAATGTCAAAAATTGCAGTTCCTTTAATGGCCACTTGAGGCTAGCACTAAAAGTGAGTGAATCCCTACAAATTCCCAATGTAACAGCAGAAGCAAGCAGCGGTTTCCTCATACAGAACAACTGTAAGAAAAGAATAATACTTTCTGTGAGTCCATTAGGGTCTCAGTGAAGTAAATTTCATCATCATACAATTATGGTGTTCCTGAATAACTTTGAAATTTGAGTTCCCAGTTGCAACTGAAAGTAAACAGTAGTAAAACCATAAAACGTTTGTGTATTTGTGACTCACTAAATAAGCCATATGCATGCTATGCTGTAATGCTAGTGACACATGAACAGCTCTACCTATCTTAAGAACCAAAGCGGACATAAAAGAAGTAAAACAAAATCACCAGACATGCATGTGAAGCTGACTTTGAAGGAAAAAACCACCCAATTAAGATGTTCCCAGAATGTTTTAGTCACAAGTTGTACAATATATACACAGTATAGATAGATGCACAAATTCTTTGTATTTGTCAGCTCTTACCTGGCTTTAGGTTCCTTCAGGATTGCTGGCAGATGCGGCTTAGCACCAGGAATTGGTGGAGGGGGCTTTGCAAAAGTGGGACGTTTCTCTTCTGCCGAAGGACCTATAGAAGCAATGTATGTACTCCTTATATCTTTTGACTGTGAGCTGTCTGGATCTATTTAATTAGCAAGGAAGATGTGGTTCTGACCTCTTTTTCTGTCCTCTAATGGAGGCAAAACAAAATTCTGGAAAAAGGGAATAAATGTTACTGCTGTGTCATACCTGTAAGTTTAATTTCAGACACTGGAAATGGGAATATGGGGTAAGAATTTAAAAATTCATCTTGTATCCTGACAGCTTACTTTAAATCAGGACCCAGCTTAGCATAAGAAAATTAAAGATGAAGCACAGAGATTAATAGACACACTCACAGACTTATCTCTGGGAATTGAAGGCTTCTTCCTGCAGACAGTGAGAGGGCTAATGTTTATTGCATATTTACTACCAGGACTTTAAAACATAATTTCCCTATTATAAATACCATATTTGCATTAAAAAATGCACATGATTGTCTAGAATGCACAGCTATAAAGACATATTGTATCATAGCTTGCCTGCAAATAGGATGAAAGCTGCTTTGAAACAGAGTGAGATGAACTTACAAGGGTATTTGAGCAGGTGCCGGTGTCCTGGGAGACAGAGGCATCTTCATGGGCCCACGCGGGGGAGGAGAGCAAGCTGGAGAGAGGGGGGAAAGTAAAAGTAACTTCCGGTTTTCAAACACTTTCATATAAACTTGTAATCAATGCCTCAGAACTACTGCCTATGTAGTGTGTTTGAACTTACCTGCTTCTGGTTCTAAATAAAGGTCATCATCATCATCGTCGTCCTGTAACGCAAACCAACAAATATGATATGCAAAGGGGCATTAACCTTCTCCATACAGAAGAAAACATCAAATTACATTCATGCAGCTGTGCAGGTATTATTGGCTTTTGGTATTAGTGACTTATCTAAGATTTAATGTTCATGTAAATGTTTATCTAGGCATGGTTGTTGCTTCACACTAAGACAGTCCGGAGTTTGACCCCACCATCTGACCGGGACCTTTCTGTGTGGACTTTGCATGTTCTCCCCATGTTTGTGTGCATTCTTTCTGGCTACTACAGAGAAACATGCAGTTAGTGGGTTTAGGTTATTTGGTGATTCTAAATTGCCTATGGGTGTGAATGTGCGTGCGAATGGCCGTGTCCTGTGACACACTGGCGACCTGTTCAGGGTGTACCCCGCCTCTTCCCCTATGGTAGCTGGGATAGGCTCCAGCCCCAGAATACCCATCCATCCAGAAGAAGATGCATGGGTATTGGTACATTTATGTAGTTGTTGGTGTAGCAAAAGACAACTGACTGCTTATAAAAGGCCCTTAAGAAACAACAGCCCCCTCTGAGTGCAGACATGTCGTGGGTGACTCCTTGCATCTCCCACACACACACTCAAACTGACACTCTTTTGTGTGTATATTATTACACACAAAAGAAAAAGAAAACATAATAATGTTTAAGTCACCGGTTCTTCAGTTGGATCCAGGTACACATCTGAAATGCAGAAAAAAAGACTAGTGATCTATGTTGCCATATCACAAATATACAGTGGTGATGCTTACCAGCATGTGCACACAGAATGAAGCACCTATACAGTAAGTAATTAGAATAATCCTTAACCTCCTAAGACCCGAACTCTTCCACGGCATGCATTTTTAATTTCTCTTTGATATTTGGGCAAATTGGGGCCCGATGAATGTAAAAACAAAGAATTATCAGATTTTTTTTTTACCTTATTTTTGTTTTTAAGAAAAATAAGAGCCACATCTGAGGATACTTATTTAAAATTTTGATAGAACAGTAGCAGTATAATGTCCTCATAAGTGGATATCAGGCCCTTGCAGAGCAAAATTGAGTATTTTGGTCTAAATAAGCTAAAATGTGATGTCCACATACAGTATGTGGACGCCAGGTAGGAGCTTAAGTTAGTCGTCTGTTTACGACACAGCACCAGCAATGAAAGTGACTACCACAAATCTATTTTACCTATGTAACATACTTAAAATACGCAATATTCAAATGAAAAATAGGCCTGTTTACATTTTCAGATTTTTTTTTCTACTTCACTAAATATTAGCATCAACATCCTGGTCGTTTTCCCATTTTACACAGCAATCAGTGTCAGCTGAAGCTCTTCGTTTCCATAAGAGATGCATCAATACAAACTGGGGTGAGCAATGGAAAAACCCATTCTGCTTAAAAGCATTTTCCCAACCCAAAATTATTAAAAAAAAACACCGTATGTAATATGATTTATATTTGAGTGAATGTATTTGAGTGTAGATTGAAAGGAAAAAAACTGAGATATTCATCATTTTGAAATGCAGAAGATTGTTCTGAGGCCTGCAGTTTTTGGGTTCTTGCATCTTATTTTGTAATGTTTAATATGCAGCTCAGTGGCACTACAGCAGGTGGCACTCTCCTCTTTGTTTTGCTCACAGCTCCAAATTATGTTGCTGCTGGAAACATCAAGCAGAGGCTACAAGTGTTTGGCAACCTGAGTTTATCAAGCAGCTTTTGGAAATACCACATCGCTAATAAACTCATAAACACAGTATAGTCTTCATTAATATTATTATTATTATTATAAGAAGTAGTAGTAGAAGCACCCATATCACCCCTTAAAGAATCTTCCTCACAGTCAGTTTTCACTCAGTTACACTCTGGTGCGCTCTTCCTTTAAAATAATATTTTGTGTTGGTGCTGATTACCTTCCTCTACAGGGACTGTCTGAAGCGGCATCTTCTTCCTCCCTGGCTTATCACTTCTAATGACCTCAGGTGCTGGAGAGAGATAAATGTATTTATGTGATTCATTAAAGTACACAAATGAAAGCGTAAAAATGTAGAGGGGGAAAAAAGGACTGATGAGATTTTAAAAAATCATCAAACAGAGCTGAGTCACTTACGTTTGCTGATGGCATCCTGCCGTTGCGAAGGTTTCCGAATGAAAAAAACAGTTACAACATGGTAAAACATCTATGTTGACAGGCACAAAGAAATAGACCCTGAGCTTTTATTACCGAGGATTTGCTTGGTCTGGGTGGAGGTGCAACCTGCCTCGGTGTTACACCAGGTTTGGAAGTCCTCTCTGCAAAAAACAGAAAGAATTTCAGGGGAAAAGACCGTGTTTCACTGTCTGCGGTATCTGTGCTGAAGTTTGCCAGACTCAGATGTTACCCAGATAAACATTCTCCTCCACTGCTCTCGGTGGCACTTTGACAGCCGGTCGCTCACAGGGAGGAGCTTCATACATGTCGTTGTCATCATCCTGCCGTGAGAAAAGGTTGGTAATCTTAACAATCTTAACAATTATTTCCAAACAAACTATAAAACTTTAATATTTTAGCAGTATGGCTGCCATGAGATAGACTGCTGTTCTGTTCAGTGTGTACCCTGCTCTAATATTGTAAAGCTATTTAGTTTTATCATGATAAAGCATTGCTGCGTATTGTTATTATTAAGACCGGGATGTCTGCTTGATTGTGCGTCAGCTCCCTTCACAATACGTATTGTTTTTGGCCTATTCAGTACTTAAATCCTGCCCCTAAAAATGCCCAAAACTTGAATGAAAAAGTACAAAAATATAACAAACCTATTATAAACCACACACACGCAATTTAAGAACTTGTTCTCTTCCTACTTACAAATTCGTCCTCCGGCCACCCAAATGCTGCATTGTTATCTGTAGGACACAAGCATACATGAATGAACATAAGAGATGTACAAAAGGCATCAAAGCAGCTTTAATAAAGTGAAAACAAATCCCACCTGTCCTCCTAGGAGGAGCTGGAGGACTGAAAGGAAGAAGGGAGAAAAGACATGGACAGAGAATACTTTAATACAATAAGCATTTAGCAGGAAAGAATGAGAATGAATGAGATTTCTGTCTTGGTCATGATACTCACAGGTTCTTCAGTCTTCCAAAGAAACTCTGAAAAACACCAGAAACCACAGAAATTAGTGAACAAATACCCAGATTTCATGAGACGAGTAGATGCAGAGCGACAGAAACACAGATATTTAGCTGTCTCTATGTGACACAGCCCATTATTCTTAAACTGCATGCTTAATGATTTACTTTCAGTTACTTATCAGCTTCATCTATCTGTCTGAGTCAGTTTCCCTCTTTGGATAAGGTCACATAACAATGGAGCTTTATTTGGTACAGAAAAGGAGACAAAAACACAGTACAAAATAGCACCTGAGGTATCACTGTATCATTTTACACAGGATGTAAATACTTCAAAATGTTTGTAGGGTATGTTTTTGTGGTGTAATTTACTCTCAGAGATATATTAATCTTTTATCTGCCAATATAATATATGAAAATACAGTAGGATAGGACACAGTTCTGTAAACAATCATATAAGAATATCTATCTTTTAAAACTTCCCAACATTAAATAAAAGACATAAAATTGTCTTTTTGCAATTACCTATAAGCGCTTTCACTGGCCAAGCATACACTGTTTTTTCTGTAGACATTAAATAATTATTATATGACATAATTTGCTTGATAATCTAAAGCTGGTTTTTCTTCTTTCCTGAAACGTGCCTCCTTTATTGTCCATAAAGCCCATGATTACAGAACACCTGCTGTATTCACTGTTTCCACCACCCTAAACATAAAGTCCCATAAAAAAGAAAGTTTTCACAGGGCAAGTATGAGCAGCTCTGTAAAAGCAGAAGTTTTGGCAATTTGTTTCTTTACAGTTTTCACGATTGTGTTAACACAGTGTGACAATCTTCCCAGACATGGATGTCCCAGCAAATTCACTCCAAGGTCTGACTGTGCAAAGCTCAGAGAAATGGCCAAATCCCAGGAGCTACATCTGTGACTCAGCAGGTGTCAGTTTTCATGATAAATGCCAAAGCTTATAACAGTACTATCCTGTATCGTATCCTATGATGCACAGTGCCACATTTGGGAAACCAAACACAGCACATCAGCTCAAACAACTAACTGCTGCAAGTGTGATGATTTGGGTTTGAAGTGAGTTTCAAATTGCCGTGAACAGTGAGGGTGCTGACGAAAAAAGAAAAACAAACCTGCTGCAAAATCAACAACTTCAAATTCAACTGACATTTACAGCTCCCCACATGGACAAGCAAAATAAGCTTTTTTGGTCACATTAGACAAAGATTTAGCAATTTGGCCACAATATTAGGAAGGACATAAAGGTGAGGCTTTCAAAACTAAGGACACTGTACCACCTGTCACACAATTTGTTGGAATAATAGAGAATGAATTCTTCAACTTCACTCCAAATCAAACAGCAGACAGTTAAAACTTGGTTAAGTTGGATGTTCCAGCAGGGCAATGATCCTCAAAACACAACAAAACTGGTTTTGGACTTGATAAAGCGGGCTAACATTGACCTTCTGATGGCAACCCATCTGAAAATTTGTGAGCAACACTTAAAAGCAAGGTCTGTGCCAGGAAGCCAGCTAGTGTAGATAGACTCTACCAATTCTGCCGTGAGGAGTGGTCAGCCTTGAAGACAGACTATGCTTGGTGAAGGTTAACAAAAGTGTCTGGTTGGCGTCCAGCTTGATTTGGAACATTTAACCAAATACCAGCAGGGTCTATCAATATTTTTATACTTTTGACCCTGTGTGCATTAGAATAAATTGGACTTTTTGCATCCAATTCTTCTTTTTTTAACTGTGTATGTTATACAATCATTCCCACCTGAAAAAAGGAGCAGTTTTTAAAAAGCCAAAACTGCCATGACATTCATGCCCATGATGAAGATATGTCAACTTTTCCCAACTGTATCCTCATGAATGATCTGTCTGGCTTTTGATTGCTGCTACATCTTATTCAAAATAAGCTTTGAAACAAAAGTGTACTAAAAATATTTGTGAAATTCAAGTTTATGTGTAGCTGTTTACAGCTGAGGTTACAGAAGACGGTGGAATTCACTACAAAAGTAATATCAGGAAGTTGAGTTCGTCCCAGTGCGTGAGGCAGCTGTAGAGGAAGTGCTGATGTAATGTAAATGATGATAAACAGGCAGGGAGAGATCACTTTCTGTCTGTACACACAACACGTCAGGAACCAGGTGTTTCAGTCCTGATAAATGAGGAGCAGGGGAAAGGTAATAAAAAAGGAGAAGTAAATCACTAGTCAGCTATTCACGACATTCTCTCTAATCCCAAGCATGTCTACATGTTAAGGCTGAGTTAGGTTACAGTGACAATGCTAAGGTTTGTCTTAAAATAAGAGCGGTGTTAAAACGCTACCTGTAGATGAGAAATTTTATAAAAAGCGGAGCATTTGAAAAAAGTGGTGTCAGAGTCTGTGGGAGTAAACAGGAGGAAAGAGGAAAAAGTCACGCAGCTGTGGAGCGAAATCTGATGCAAACAAGGACTAGACACGCATTATTCAAATAATACACTATTCATCTGTTATCACGAGCAATTATATTTGATAGGAATTAAAAAATACTTTTCATCTCAGAAACTATCTGCACAAACAGCTGCCATGAAATTTAACATTTGTTTAAGGTGGAAAGATTATGTTCTGCCTTTTCTGTACTAGTTATATTGCAGTCAAACATCAAAAGCTGGAGCTCGCCTTTGTGTTTAATGTTTGTTAATGTACAGAAGAATGTACCTGCAAGAACTGTTTGCTAAAAGCAAGAGGAACTTGAACCCTGTTGAATCACATGTGCAAAGAGACTTTTTGTGTTGCCAAAATACTTCTGTAGCTCTATGTCATTTATACAGTATGAGCAGATTTTATGTTTAGACATAAAAGAGTTAAACGTGCAAAGATTTCAGTTCGAACGTCAGTCGGTGTCTCTACAAGAACCTCAGAGAGAGTTGGGAACGTCTCCACTAAACTGTACAAAAAGATCACAACAACAGTCGTTTAATTTCTCATGAAAACCAGGAAGTGAAACTGAAGCGCAAATTAAAAATAGCACCAAACCCAAACTGTGATTCAGTGTTTGATCCAACAAAATCTAATAACTTCAGGAAACCATCAAGCAACACACAAACTTGTTTGATTTGCCAGAGGACATTTATTTGGTCGTTACAGATGCCTGCAGGTAAAAGTTTACCTTCAACGCTAGTTTTCTGGGATATTTTCATTGTTTACCCTTTAAACTCTCATACAATCACATCTTTAAATTGATCTCTGCCGTCGTATCTTTCCCACAGTCCGAACTCCAAAGAAGAAATAAAGGTGAGCTAAAAATAACTACATGGAAGTTTTACAGTGGGCCTCGACAACACCTGCTCGCTTCCTTCTCACTCCACCCAAAGTTATCAGACCATAAACCAAAATATAACAAACTTAATTAAACAGTACTTTACCATTTTCACGACTTGGGGACCCGTCTCACAGCTCAAGTCATGAGGATATGTCTTTGTTTCGGTCCTTGGATGCAAATGCTTTATAGATTAAAAGCGTGTGAGCCAGAGACCGTGTGAATCAGCTCTAGCTGGACTCATTTGCATTTCCTACCTGTAACAGTAAGAGAGACAGCCTCACCTGCTGCTCAAATGTCTGCCTTTAACTGACCTCCTGCACAGCTTGAACATGGCTCCAAATTTCCCTACCTAACAGTCATATAACCAACTGAAATTGATGATTTGTTGCAGGCAGCAAAGGACATTCTCTTTGTATGCTGTAAAAATAAAATATTAACACAGTATATATGTATTTAATGAAGCTATTACTCCTAACTAAATGATAGGACCTCGTTTAGCATGTGATGTTGAAGATACTTTTATTTACTTTATTGAACCTCCTGGAGACAAAATGCTGGCATCATAACTTTAGTGATGCCATTTCTTCTAGCACTATTATAAAAGAAAACTGTTGTGTTTTTTTAAACTAGGAAAGTGAAGGTTTAAATAATGCTTCGGTATGTTTTGATGAATCATCACTCACATTTGGTGTGTAGGAATACACTGGATTATTAAAATACAAATGCCTTTACATTGGTAAAAGTAACCTATACCTTGTAAGAGTAAAACATTACATTTGCTGCTCTAACATAATAAAATTGTTCCCAGTTTTGACAGTTTAAATGGATCTTTCAACCAGTTTTGTTACTTTTTCCATCACTTTATAATTTTATTATTGTCAAAGATCATTATTTCATTAGGAATACTTGAATTTCCATCTTCCAATATATGTTTGAATTTTGACTATGAACCTTTCTGACTGATAAATAATTGATTGGTAGGGTTTAAAAAAAAGCCTTGTAAATCATTTTAAAGAGGATGTGATTTAGAAACAGGCAATGTTAGAGACATAAATTATCTCAACTCTTTATTAGGTGCACTTTGCTACTACTAAGACCCTCTTTTGCCTTCTGAAATGATTCAATTCTTGTGTCATGGATTCAACAAGGTGCTGGAAATGTTCCTTAGAGATTTTGGTCCATGTTTACGAGAATGAAACACACAGTTGCTGCAGATTTGTCGGTTGCACATCCATGATGTGAAGCTTCCATTTGACAGCATCCCAAAAGTTTTCTAATGGATTGAGATCTGGTTACTGTGGAGGGCATTCGAGTACAGTGAGCTCATGGTCATGCTCAAGAAACCAGTTTGAGAGTCTGAGCTTCATGACATGGTGTGTATCCTGATAAATGCAGCAACCAGCTGGGATTGGTAAACTATGGTCATAAGGAAATGGGCATGGTCAGCAACAATACTCAGGTGGGCTGTTGTGTTTAAAAAATTCTCAATTGGTACTAAAGAACACAAAGTGTGCCAAAGAAACAGCAGCAGCCTGAAACATTGATACAACGCAGGATGGATCCATGCTTTCATGTCGGTTGTGCCAAATTCTGACCCAGCCATCTGAATGTAGTTGAAACTCAGCAGACCAGCCACATTTTTCCAGGCTTCTACTGTCCCAGTTTAATGAGCCTGTTTCTACTTCCTAGTTGACAGGAGAGGTATCCAGTCCTGCTGTAACATTCCTGCGTTAAGGCTCCACGTTATACTTTCAGACATGCTCTTCTGCATACTTTGGTTGTAACAACTGTTTTTTAGGTTATTTCTGCACTCTAGCCTTTGATCTCTGTTAACAAGGCGTTTATATTGAGAGGACTGCCACTCACTGAGTTTCTCCTTTGTGGACCATTCTCTCAGCAGTTTATGAAATACTCAGACCAGCTGGTCAGTCACCAACAACTATGTCAAGTTCAAAGTCTCTTAAATCACCCATCCTAATGCTTGTTTTGAAGTTCAGCTAATAGTTTTGATCAGGTCTGCATGCTTAAATGCACTGAGCTGCTGTCCTGTGATTGGCCAGATCGATGTTTGTAGCCGTTGAACAGGTGTACCTGTTAGGGTGGCTGTCGTTATCTATAAATGAGACTGAACATACTTAATTTCCTCCAACAGAAAGAAAAAGATGAGCTTAAAATGATCTGATAAAATGATTTCAAATGTTATTTATTGACAATGGTATTACTGAATATGGTAGAAAGGCAATAACAATTATCAAGCAACAATAAATTATCAAGTGGCAATACAGGGATAAGTAACATATTTAGATTTCTACAAAATAATATAAAACAAACATGAACATTAACTTAATACAAAACTTCTAAAATCCAGATTCTCACAAAAGACATGAGATTCTTACAGATTTGAGCTTTGCAGTCAATAAGCAGTATACAATATATAATATACATGTTACATACAAGTATGGGCTCAGCCCAGGTGCAGCTGAACTCTTCCTAAGACACAGGTTTCCAGAATGAGGCAGTATTTCCTGTTACCTTCTCCCACAAGTTCAAATCTACAGCGCAACACAGCAGAGTGCCAAACTATTAAAATCTGCAAAAACAAGCAGAATCTGAACCAGCAGATTGTGGTTTGGATGAAGGCCCTTTTGTGAGCAAATGCAGAACATTTTGCATTAAACTAATTAAGTAAATGTATCTCTCAGCTATAAGACAAGTCCTCCTGACAAAGGACTTTAAAATGCCCTGTGGAGAAACATCCCCATGTGTTTCACTGTACTCTGCAAAGTAAAGGCCTGTTTTGAGTGAGGATTAAAAGTGCTTTTGATCTTAAGCGTGCCACTGTGTCATTTTTGTATAAACCAGCATAAAGTCAACCACAAAAAGCAGAGGGATATCCATATTTTTTCCTATTTATCTAGATAGGTTAACTGCCAGTGCTCAGGGGGGGAAACAGCTTTAAAACCTCCCAGAAAGAAGGTAAAAAATGTGTTTTCAGTTCATCTTTTCACTTTCACACTGAAGACTGTAACGAACATAAAACCCAGGAGCACAAAAACTCCCGATTGAGGTCTTTCGTGTGTGTCTCTGTAGAAATGGCCATTATCACATAAGCTTTCTGTCTGGTGGGATCTAGAGCCAGCCCTCAACAGTCCAGAGGGTGTCTCAGTCTATCAACTTAATGATAAACATATTTGTTCCACCCTCTGCGTTTAGTCTCCAGCATCTCATTTGCATCTTCTTTTGATTTAAACCGGGTTTGCTTTAACTATGTTGTTAATCCAGTCAATGTAATTGGTGACACGGGTGTAGACTCCAGGTTTATCTTTCTGGCCACACCCATCGCCCCAGCTGATCACACCCATCAGAGTCATCCTGTCATTGTATCTGCAGACAAGCGGGCCACCAGAGTCTCCCTGTAATTGAATCCAAGAAGCAAATTTAAGGGAAAGTGTAAAGGAAATAAAAGTTATAATGTTATGAGCATGATTTAACTGTGAGGATAAGTGTGGGTGTTCTCACCTTGCAGGCGTCGTCCAGGCCTCGAGTGTCACCAGCACACAGCATGTTTGAGGTAACTGTGCGTCCAGACAGCACCCCTGGGACACAGCGCTCTTTGGGCCACAGGCGAACATAACCTCTCTTAACACGGTCAGAATACTCTGGAGAAACTGTGAAGAGAGCGTTGCATTAGTTTAGATTGCCTATACTGTCCCCTGCTGCTCAGATACTTAAAATGACACCAACTTGTCTGTGCGATAAGTACAGTAGTAGCCATAAAAAATGAAAAAAAAAAGGCTATGATTTAGTTTTCTTACATTCTGCGTCTTTTCCGTAGCCTGAGATCTCACACTCAGTCCAGTCGGGCAGCACCAGCCCACGTTCAGGCAGACACGCCGGAAGAACTTCTGGAGAGTTTACAGCACAGATGCCAACGTCCGTCTTAAGTTTCAAAATAGCTGCAAGTGGAAAGTGACCAAAGGAAAGTCAAGGCAATGCACTGGGAAAATGTGGGATGAAGACTGAGAGTTGAGTTAAAGTTTTAACAAGCCTCTGCTGCCCACTTAAGCTTCCATATCATTACTGCTGGAGGAAAACAAGTTCACTAAAACGTCTCATTCTGTTTTCATTATTAACATTGAAGTATGACTAAAGTAGCCTCAATTCTCCACACAAACAGTTTGACTAAGAGCTCTTTTTTTTAGTCTGGCAATGATTGTGTGCTTATAAAGAGGACCTTGGTGCAGCTTTTCAGGTCATGTTCTTAAAATTAGACATTTTTGGCCCCTTTCACCCTACCTTCTTGCAGAAAGTTTGAAATACAGTCGGGAGGGGCTGCTGTGGCTAAGACTAAATCATACAAAGCCAAAAGCTCAAAGACATGACCAAAAGTTCAATTGTGTATTTGTGTCTCTGGATTAAGGTACAAGCGATACCTTTCTTTGTACCGACTATGAAATTAATCTTAAGTTTACGCACTGTATTGAAAACCTAATTTGGGCTACAGGTTTACACTGCTGTGTTTAAAAGTTTATTTTTAAACTTTTATATTAATAAATGAAAAGTGCGAAACAAAGATAAAAAATATTGGATTATTGTTTCTGTTACAATGAAATGTTCACTCACCGATGTCATTGTCGTATGTTTCCTTGTCATATTTCTCGTGGATCCAGAGTTTCTCGACGCTGAAAATCTGCTCGCTGCTGGAGTTCTGTTTCCGAAACGTTCTCCCCAAAATTACTTGCAGTTTATTTACATCGTTTCTGAAAAGACAGAGCGCACTCGTTTGTTTGCTATATGGCAAACACGTTCGACTAGTGTTTAGTGTATGTGCGTGCATGTGTGAAAGCTGGAAGTCAGTGCTACCTTTCTTCAAAGCAGTGTGCAGCAGACAGGAGCCAGCAGGAATCAATGAGGATTCCTCCGCATAGATGAAAGTGCTTTTTGTGACGGGGTTGGTAAAAATTAATGGCCGCCTGCCACGGCTGCTCCGTGATTTCACTCGCTCTGCCTCCAAACATGCGGAACGATGGTTGGGATAAAGTGTTGTCTAAACGCTTGCCACATGTTCCTACAGAAGAGACAGGTTGGAGAATGATGGTTGAACGACAGTAGGATTAATCGACACCCAGAAGGAGGGACTTTTGATTATGTCTGAGGTGTTTTCACTGGCTGTGAAGATATCCTACCTCTGTTATTGTTATTAGT